TATCTCCACAGAATGTGGGTGTGTGGTCACTCTTAGCTTCATTTCTCCCCATAGACCTTACTGGCATGGGTGTCCCTACCAGGAGCTTGTGCTCCAGCCTGCATTGCCCTATGGTTCAGTAAAATTACTGGGCTCTCCCACCACGACCAGGTGGTGACCACGGGAGAGTTATTATTATTATTATTAATTATATCCATATTAATTTGTCTCTATGTGCATGTTATTACTGTAATTATGTTAGTTTAAATTTATTTAACATTATATTCCAAAATATGTTTTCCATTTTGAATATGTGATTGAATATGTCCTTTTATTAAAACTGAATTGTTCCAAAACTATGTTCTTTACCTGAAGATGACATTAATAAAAATGTTGAAAGTGCTCATATTAATAAAAAGTATTTTAATGCCAAGAGACAGTAGTTTTTTAGTAATTTAATGGATATTATCTTGGCATGGTAATCTAATTGTTTTTATACATTTGTGCCAGAGCTTATAAATCCAATATAACTTAAAATTGGTTTTCTTTTTCTTGAAATTATATACAGTTGTGGATTTTTGGTTATTACGTATAAAGCCAAATGAGCTACCAGATTATTAAACCAGTTTAAGGCTAATTTTAATAATTAAATAAACAATAATTTGACTACAGGTAGATAGATAGATCACTATATCTTGATAAATTGAATAATTATAAATAAATTAATTGTTAATTTTATTTTAGAAAGTTCTAGAAGAAAAGAATTGGCCTGGAACAGGACTGAAACCCCTGCATGTTGTGCAGATATACCAGATCAGACAGATGTCCAGGTAGTGTAATTGGTAATGCATCTGCAGGGTATGCAAGAACTGTGATTTGAGTCTCACTCCAGGCCGATTCTTTTCTTCTAAATCTTTCTAAATTAAAATTACAAATTAATTAATTTATAATTATTAAATTTATCAAGAAATTTATCAAGCAAAACTGCCTACTTCTAGTCAAATTACTATTTATTTAATTAGTAAAATTAGCTTTAAAATAACCAAATAATCTGGTAGATTGATTGGCTTTAGGTAAAAACAACAATAGTGGAAGTTTATATATGTATATTATGAAAAATTTTAATTTCACACAAACTTTTATTTTAAACACGAAAAAGACAATCATTTTATTGCTTTTCCTTTCTAGTTTAAAGCTATTTTTAATGATTTTAAATAATTCAAACATTAAAAAAAATACGTTTTACAAACTTTCAAAATTCTTATCTGCAGTCCAATTTTACTTGATATTTTACTCATATTCATGAGAATAATTTTAAATTTTCTATATTATTTTTATTAGCTTTTATAATACTTAGCATGTAATATACTTGATAATAAATAACTAATACTATAATTTATAATTTTATATTAATTAATTTTCTTAAAAAGTAAATTTTTAATAACCTATAAAATGTACTAGCAACATCTTTCTTTCTAAGATCAAATAATTTCATGGTACCATCTTGTGATCCACTAATTAATATGTAGGGTTCTGTTGGATGGAAACATACTTTATTTACTGTTCTTTTATGGTCTTGATAAACAATGTCTGTAAAAAAAAGTTACAGTAATTTTATTTTAAATGGTAAAAACAAAAATAAGAAAATATTTGAAAAGATTTAAATCATTAATATTTGGAAGTATGGATCCATGTTTACAATTATATAAATTTAACTAAACAATCAAATTTAAAAATGAAAGAAGCAAAAAAGATTTGAGTATAATTATCACTAAAATGGTAGATTCAAAGTAACTCCCCATAATGCAGCTGGCACACCAAAAGTGATGGAAAATATGAAGAAATATGACAAAGTACAAAAAGTGTGTTGTATATTTGACATAATTTGCTCCAGAAATCAACAGGAAAGTCAAATATCAAAGTTAAACTTTCCTACATATCAGAAGAAAAACATGTTGTAACTTATAAATTTGGGAGTTAATAATAAATTAACATGTTATCAACTAAAGGATCTGACTGAAAGTAAATTATTTCAAAAAATATTTTAAAAATTTTACTAATTTTTTTATGGAGAAATGTAAACAAATGAAAATCTTGAATTTCTGTTTAATCTTTTATGTGATACTGTTAAAATATAATTTATGATCTTTTATAGTGAAATTAATATGATTCTATTACATTAATTATAATAATGACTATAAACATTCATTAAGTTTTATATACACTACAGTTTATTTTAAAAAACAATGGATATTATATCACAGGTTTAATTGTTACATTAAAAAATCAAAAAAATTAAGTATGTAATAAAAATTTACTAGATATTTATTCTTATATATTTTAATTATTTTATTGCAATTTGAATTATATGTGTTCTGTCACTTCTTTCTTAATTCATTCCGGAATAGAAGATCTGTACCAAAATCACTTGGTTTACAAATTATGAAGAAGAGACAGAATGCATAAATATTTTATTACAAAATTACTTGGCAATGTCATAAGGCCATCCCTCAATTTTTACTTTTTCCATTTTTATTGAATTAAAAAATAATGAAATTGCCTTCTTCTTAAAAACTGGATTGATGATTAAGTACACCAAATAAAACCTTTATAATCCAGTAAATAATTTTAATGTATAAAAATAATATATAAAATATACATATGTTGACCTGAAGCATATCTTGTGTAAGACTGAAAACATGTGTCAAATTACAAACTAAACTTATTACAATTTAATGAATAATTAAGAGCTCTAAAGGAAAAGGAAGAGGAAAACTTCACATAACATGGATTAGAAACATCAGGGATTGATTGGACAAGATGAAATCTGAGAGAAGCAAATTGTAACCATTGGAGAACCATCATTCATCAGAACAACTCTTCAACAGGAAAAAATCATGGAAATAAAATAAAATTAGCTAAAAAGAAATTTGTAAATTTAGATATATAGTAGTATATAAGATGTTCATGTGAACTGAATCTGACTGACATGCTGTTAGGACAGATTCACATTTTGTTGTATAAATATCAACAATACTTAAATTGCATTATATAAAATTATAACAAAATTTATGTAACATATATTTCCATTCAATTACTTCATTTTTAAATTTAAAAATATATCTAACCTTGTTTTGATCTTGAATTCTTATTCAAATTCCAAGTAACAACTGCTCCATTAGAAGCTGCAGTTGCCAGTACGTTATCTAAGAAAATATTTAAAGAATAAACTATTAAGTTATGGTAAAACGGGAAAAAAGGAAGAGTTTATTACAACTGCTTTCTACTAGTATAAAAAAAGTAGGTTTAATCAGAAATTTTCAATCAAGTTAAAAAAATTCAATAATTTAGACACATCAGTATTTTGTATTTTATATTAACAATATTAATTTCCAATTAATTAATACTGATTTTACATTCCTTAATAAAATGTATTTATTAGGTTCAGAAAATTATTTCACTGCAGAAATTAAGAGTCCTACTCAATTTATGTTTAATTAAAACAAGATATTATATTAATATTGCATTTTATTATTCAATCCTTTACACTGGCATGGTTCTGTTATAAATACTAAATTTCTGCATTGTCTCCTAGACTGACCAGATGATCAAGACTATTACTGTAGTCATCTGGTTGATGAAGGCACCAGTCTGTCACTCTGTGGACCTAGGTTCAAGTTTGAATGAGCTTGATAATTTTCAGAAGTGGATCAATTTAAATATGTCAATCTCCATTCCTTAAACATGAAAATCCTCCTGCAGGTCTGGCTGGTGCCATGAGAAGCATGATTAAATGACATTTTATTACTTTATATATAAAAATAACTCTTTCCATAATTTTCTTTATACTGAGTGATCAAATGAAATCAAAACTTTCAAAGAGTTTGGCAACACCATGAGTCAGACAACAGTGCTATGTTTGTCTGGCCTGCTTTGCATTGCAAAAAACATTTGAATCTTAAACATTTATTTATATGTTCTTGAGGAATAATATTTGAAACTGTAAATGAATACATAGAGTAAAATAAAGTAAATATATAAATATAAATTTCAACGACAACTCTTACTTTGTAAGACTGACAATTAATTATTTTCATGGTTGAATGAACAGAACCATAAGATAACCCAGTTTCATGAGATGTTCATTGAATTTGCTTCTAAGCATGACCAAATCTTGCTTTCTTCAAATAACATTTTGTTCATGACAACTTTTTTCCCATGAACCCTGCGGACAATTTATTAAAAAGTTTGTAAGCAAAAACTCTCTAAGTAAAGATGATTTACAATAATTTGCATATTAATTTTCAATAATTTATCTTCTTTAAGTAACTTTTCACTACAAAGACTCTAAAGTAAGATATTTCTAGTAATAAATCCTATTTATAAACAAGGTCTACGTGGATAATATATAACCAAAATTGAAATGTTTAAAGACAGAGGCACAAGAATTTAATATCAGCTCTTAATTTAAATAAAAATAAAGCTAATATTAAACTAGAAAATTTGTGCTTTGTGATAAATCAGTGTGAAGTCACCAATGAACAGCATTGACAAACTCCTTAAGCTATTTCTCACAAATTTTCCTTTCATTTGATCACTCAGCATAAATTAAAATCGAGCCCAGAAGAAATTAAAAGTCTCACCTTCTATAGGATTCCAAGCAACATCAACACAACTGAAGTTAAGATTGAGATTTTTTCCTACTCTTAAGTTGAGACATTCAGTGAATTCGTCATCTTCAATATTGAAAACTTTAAACACTGTTAATAAAAATAATATATAATTTTATTAAATTACTTGTTATTATAATAAACACACATTTATTAAGAAATATTTTTAAAAAATGACTAAATTTTATTGGTTCTTATGTAAAATTACAATAATGAAAACTAAAGAAAGAAAGAAACAAAATTCATTTTTACTTTTAAAAATCTTTATGTTAAACTTGAATAATTTACTGGAAATTTGCTAATTAACAAATCTAAGAAACATAAAGTTTGGGTGTTTTATATATGGTAAACATTTTATAAGGAGAGCATAATAAATGATCAGTTATAACTAGACAATCATTAAATGCATTTATTCACAACCATTATACTGAATAGGCTAAGATTTTGACAGTGTTCTCTTTGAATTTCCTTACGGATTGTTTGAATGGTAATACTGTATGCAACTATAGCAAACAACCCACTACAAGCAATGCTCATTAGTAGACATAGGTGTTATTAACTGAATCTTAATCAATTAACAATATTCACCAATCTGTATACCATTAAAGCTCAGTGGGTGCCCCTGAATGTATCATATGTTGTTAGATAAAGAGGAAAAATGTACAATAGATGTCAAGTATAAAACAAATTTATATGATAAGTTTGATACAAATATTGCATATTTGAGGTGGTTAAAAGTTAACTAAATATATCATTTTTCTATTAAAAAAAATTGGATCTATAATATGTGCATATATATGAAAATGAAGATGGTCAGACAGAATAGTAAAGGTATCAGTCTGCCACTCTGGGATTAAATGTGAGTCCCAATTAGATCAAAAAGTCTGCCCAATGGCTTCAGCAGATACATTAGGCTCTAGCCCTCATTACTCAAACCCATGAACATAAGAAGTTTACTTAGTATCCTAGAATGTATACTTTTCATAATTTTTATTTTCAAATATATATGTATCATGTGCATATTTAGTTAAATATTTTACATTATGTATCTATGTATGCAAATTATTAAGGATGGGATTAAAACTCCTGATGTTTGATATACTAAATCTTTTTAATAAAATTTTTTAAATATAATAACCATTTCTTCCTGCAACTGCCACTTGTGCTGAATCTTTGTTGGCTGCTAATGCATTTGCTGGCTGATCGAGAGTAATGGACATAGTTTTTGCAGACATATTGAATAAATTTTTCAGTCATGTGTTCTGAAATAAAGAATTTATAAATTAATTTATTAATATGCTCTTAACAAATTTAGTCATGCTATTAAAAACCATATTATAAATATTGATTCTTAAATAATCTACAGTTAGAAGTAATTAAATATTCAATATTTAACAAAAGTGGTTTATTCAGCTTAAAATGTCACTAACATTAATACCATAGTATTTTCTGAACAAACATACAGGGTCTTTCAAAAAGAATTCTACCACTTTATTTTACTCTAATTATGTTAATTATTCTCTGAGAAGTATGTATTGTACATTAATTTATAGAGTAAATATTCTAGTTTCATCTACCATCTGCATTCGAACATCTTTTTGTCTACTGCCTCTAGGAAGTGCCGTAAACAAAAAATGGCAACTCCACAACAGAGAAGGCATTTTATGTTATGCATATAAAACAAATTTATATGATAAGTTTGATACAAATATTGCATATTTGAGGTGGTTAAAAGTTAACTAAATATATCATTTTTCTATTAAAAAAAATTGGATCTATAATATGTGCATATATATGAAAATGAAGATGGTCAGACAGAATAGTAAAGGTATCAGTCTGTCACTCTGGGATTAAATGTGAGTCCCAATTAGATCAAAAAGTCTGCCCAATGGCTTCAGCAGATACATTAGGCTCTAGCCCTCATTACTCAAACCCATGAACATAAGAAGTTTACTTAGTATCCTAGAATGTATACTTTTCATAATTTTTATTTTCAAATATATATGTATCATGTGCATATTTAGTTAAATATTTTACATTATGTATCTATGTATGCAAATTATTAAGGATGGGATTAAAACTCCTGATGTTTGATATACTAAATCTTTTTAATAAGTTGGCAGCAGACAAAAAGACACTTGTACACAGATGATATATGAAACTCAAATATTTATTCTGTAAATCGATGTACATCACATACTTCTCAGGTAATAGTTAACAAAATTACAGTAATTTAAAATGATAGAATTCTTTTTGGAAGACCCTGTATTTGATGGCTTTAATTGATTCCTCAAACATCAATTTCCTTCTAATTTTATGTATTTTTATCAAAATATTGTTTTTTTTAATAAAAATATTCACTTTCTTTCTATACATAAGGACAGTAGAAGCATGCCACAAATCACTGCTCATAACAATCATTGATTGCCAAATGGCAAAGCAGGTAAGGCATCAGCCTACTATTCTGGGAACCTGGAAACAAATCCAATCAGAAAACCCCATAGTTTTTGAGGGGAGGTCCTTTATATTGGGCCCCATCTCTCACTGCCTGGCCATCCTGTTGTAGACCTGGCTGAAATCTGCAATGGGCTTGATTAAAAGGAATTCTTAGCACCCACAGGGTGAAGTCAAAAATTAATAACTGATATTCATTATCTATTCTAATGAAATTCTATACTCTATGTACAGCATACAGAAACTAGAATAGTTAAATTATATTTTTTCATATCTTTAAACACACAAAACATGTTTTTATACAGGTAACCCCCGTATAACACGGCACTTCTATAGCACGGATTCGCTCTAACACGGTTCGAGAATTGGTACCATCCCCCGTATAATACGGTACTTTTATAGCACGGATTCACTCTGACACGGTTCGAGAATTGGGTAAAACCCTCGTTCAACAGGAAATGTAATCAATTTTTACATACTTAACTAATAATAGTTCACGAAAATCATTATTTTCGTGAACTATTAGTACTTAAGTATGTAAATTTTCTCTTCTCGCCTTCTGTCGATATACGTGGTCCTTCTCGAAACTTGTTTCAATGTTGCCAGATCGCGACGCTTCTGCTTCTGATGTTGCCGAATGTTTTTCCCTTATTCCATACTTGCTTTATTCTTCATAAGTGCTTAGCACCATATAAGGAAATTTATAAAGACCTTTTAACTAGAAGCAAGCAATCTAAAATTACATACATTTTGCAAAAGGTAAAGCATGGATCTGAAGATAATGCAGAAAAATGCTCAGAGGATAAGGATAACTTGCCAAAAAGAAAACGCTCTCGGTTAATTAATAGTGTTTTTAGTGATGAAGAAGAAAACATTGTTTAATTTATATTAATATGTATCACTTAAAAAAAATTTAATGAAGATATTTATCTTAATTATGAAAATATACTAGCATGTTTTTTAATTTTTGGAACCTAACCCTCCTTTTCGTATTTGTTCTTTGTTTCGTATAACACGAATTCGCATAACACGGCAATTTTTTGGAACAGAACTACCGTGTTATACGGGGGTTACCTGTATTTTGTATATATATATAAAAAAGTTTTGATATATTTCTTGGTTTAGAAATATATCAAAACTTTCTTTATACATTACAAAATGGAATATATAATCTTTATTAAAAGATTTATCATTTAGAACTTACAAATATTTTAAAATATATAATAAATTTATCAAGAAAATATGTCCATGATAGCTAATAAGTTAAATCATGGATGCTTTACAATCTAGCAGGAAGTTTCGAAGAACAAACACTTTCAATTGGAGTCTCAAACTTGAAGATGACAAGGAGTCTTAAGAAATGAATAAAAACATTTCTCCAAAACTTCCCATTGGATTTTAAGCTTTTTTAGTTTAAATTATACTTTATCCAGTTAAAATGATAACTAAGTAACATTATAGATATTTATATATAATTATACAGTGAAAGTTTTCATATTAATTAAAATATAAAATTTAACTTTTGATTAGCTTTTTAAGCATTTAATATTTTAATAATTAACTGAGGTCCTAATTAACAAATACTGATAAATCAGAAATCATTGAAATAATTTTTTTAAACATTATTTTTAAATTATATATAGTATCAATATCTTCTATTTTTTTCTTTCCTCTTTAACATTACAATGTTTTCTTCTTTTAAAATACTATGAAATAGATTTCAATTACCAGAGACTGCATATTTTTCATATGAGCTGATATAGTATAGTTTTAGGACCATCCATAAATGATTTCATGAATAATTCCACATTTTTAATCCCCCTCCCTCTCAAGTCACATTATGACAAAGCCTCCCTCGCAAATGATATCACATTGGTTGTCACTCCTGAACAAAGCCTTTGAATTATTATAACAAACACACTGCATCAATTATGCAATGGACATTAATATAAATGATTTATACTTTTATTAAAATAAAGCACTACATAACAATAGCACATTAACCAAAATTTTATTTTTGCTACAACTTGCTAGCAAGTTATTTCACTCTAATGGGTTTGTAAGATGTTTTTCAAATAACACAATGAGAATGTTGGAGGCATATGTGTCTGTAGGAATGCTTTGTCCAGTCATGTCTATATTGTCAACATCCATCCATTCAACACCTTCTGCATTACATTCCAAACTAAAGTGTTCCAAACAAATTCAAAAATTGCTTCCCTCCAATCCATGAGAGACACCGTAGTCTACAGATTTAAAAAACATCAAGTGGCATTTCTCCATATTTCTTTTTTCTTTGATAATATTCTGAAAATAAACTGTAAACTTTAAAAAATTTCAACAAACATTTTTAACAAGTCTAAAATAGTAAATAACTGCTTAAATTGCAAATACTTGTAATGTGTGCTTGGTTCAGAGTCCTGTGCCCAGATGGATATAGAAGTTCTACACATACCCGTGATCAAAAAGTATTGGGAATGGTTCAATAAAACACAAGATTTGAATTTATACATCAAAATTTATTTTTTTTCCTTTAAAGTAATCCCCTCTACTTCAATGCCCTTATGCCAATGTTTTTTTCAATCCTTGAAACATGCTTTAAAGTTGTTTTCATCAAATCACTTCAGGACCTGCAGCAAATTTTGTTTTATGACATCAATTGACTCAAAACAGTGACCACAAAGTGGAAATTTTAGTCAAAGAAACAGTCTTTGAGTAAATATGGAGCCTGTAGAACCATTTGTGAATTTTTGGCCAAAAATTCATGATTGTTAGCAGGTGCATTATTGTGGTGCAAAATCCATGAGTTTTCTCATCACAAATATAGTCATTTTCTATGAATTGCTTCATGCAAACAACATAAAATGGTCAAATATTCTTTATTGGCAGCTTGGCTAGTCAGAAGGAATTCATGATCCACAACACAATGACAATCAAAGAAAACAGTCAACATGGCCTTGATTTTTGACTGACTTTGATGTGGTCTTTCCAGTCTTGCTTCATCTTTCAAGAACCATTCACTCGATTGTTGAGTTGTTTCAGTCTGAAAAGTATAGATACATGTTTCATCACCCATAATGATGCGTTTTAAGAATTATTTGCCTTCAGAAAGCATTTCTTCAGCTATTAGAACATGTTGTTTTTGGAAAATGTTCATTTTTGGGACAACTCAAAAAAACAACACATCTCAAGCCCAAATGATCTTTTAAAATGATACTGGAATATGTTCAATAATGTCCTTAACTGTTAAACTATAATCAATGAGCACCAAATCTCTGATTCAAGCAATGTCTTGTTCATCAGTTGAAATGGATGATATACCAGAGTGTGGTTTATCTTCAATACATTCTCTGCCTTCTTTGAACATCTTGTACCACTTGAAAACTCTTGTTTTTGATATATATATATTCTTCACTAAAGACTTTTTGTAACATTTCCAGTGTTTTTGTAGGAGTAATTCTGTTGAAAAACAAAATTTAATGCACATTCTTTGTTCAATTACACTAGACATCTTGAAAAATTGCTAGCACAATTCTTTACAAGCAAAACAACCATTTATTTGCAAATGAAAAATGACAAAATACATATTGCTGCTAGATGTCAATGTCTCATCAAACAAGAAAAGAATACGATGAAGCAGCCTCTCGTACATGCGCAGTTTAAATGAATCATTCCTGATACTTTTTGATCACAGTCTGATCACAAAATTAACTTGTTTAACTCAACAGATTTTAAACATAAAGACAATCTAAGACTCCATAACAACCTAACAATTTCATAATATTAGTTATTATAATACTTGTTTCTCTTCAGATTTGTAAAAGCATGAACTGATGAGTCATTTATAACATAAAATTATTGAAAATTTGATAATGTAAATTCCACACAATTGTAGTCATAGAAATTGCACCAATCACTTTTCTTTGGTTATAACAGATTCTGTTACCAGTAGGGTTACCACAACATTTGAAGGCAAAATACAAACAGATTAGCATTAAAAGTACTCAGATAACAAAACAAAGTAAAAGGAATTTATTCATATTTTTCAATCTAGTAATTTATTCATATTTTTCAATCTTATATTTTTCAATCTAATATTTTTCAATTAAATGAAGGCATATAATATAAAATTTCAATTTACACTTTCCTTTGGGGTACCAAACACAATTTTAAATATAAGGAAACTATTTTACCACTTAAACAACAAGTATTATTAAATTAAAAAATCTGTTATAATGAATGTGCACGTTCTCTAACCCTGCATTTCTTTATGCAGCCAGAGTGTAGTAAAATGACATCACGAGCAGTGTTGGCCAATTAGAAATCAGTTTCAGTGTGTTCACTGTAAAGTGCTTCTCGAGCACTGTATAAAGAAATGCGGGGAAAGTAACAGACATTTGCATTGTAGTAACAGACATTTGCAAAGTAACAGACCATTACATTTGCTTGTGCAATGTTGCCACCTAGCCAACAAATACAATAATAATAAAAAATTTAGCACTTTTCATCAGATTTAAATCTCATTGGTTATGTTTTAACTATTAATGGCACAATCAGTTGAAAAGTACGGCCATTTTGTTTATTTTTTCCAAATACAGCACGAACACTTACAGATACTTTAAAGTATGGACTGTCCATACTAAATACCAATGTTTGGTAACTCTAGTTACTAGCCATTGTAAAGTAACTATATGATGCAAATTTATTTTTGTTATATCTCTTAGTGTTTTTACATAAAGTTAAGTACAAAAACTAAATTTTTATGTATTTTAAGTGTGACATATTTTATTTAAAAAGCATATATGATACTGATTAATGGTAAATGTGAAATGTGATATCATAGGGATCATTTCTCCTCTCATCACATTGTATCACATTCTCAACTACTACTACTCACCATGAGGTGAGACATCATTTATGGACAGCCTCTTCAATACAGAGTATTCTGTACTGGAACTATTAATGCATTTTCTTCACAAACATGAATTTATGACAAATAGCACTAAAAATCCCAAGTTTACTTGCAAGGCAGTTTAAAATTGTCCACTCCAACATTAACATTTTCTTTCAGTTCAATGTTGCTATGCACATACAATTTCACCAAAAGCTTTAAATTCCTAATTATTATTACAAAAAATTAAATTTTTTTTCTAAAAAGTTGCTACATACAAGATTTTGTTTCAAAATGTAATAAGCTAGATGTATAAGATCCTTAATACAAGAAAGCCAATTTGAAAGTTCTTGTAAATCTTTTACATGTCAAAATCACATTCTCTAGGGCAGCAATCGGCAACCTTTCTCCCCTCACAGACCACTAAAGTCACAATTCGCAGACCATTACCATCAATTTTTTAAACAATACAAAATCTGTAGAATAATGATCACAAAAGTTCAATTTTACTATATTAATATGAAACTCGCATGTTTAATTATAACAAATTAATGCAAGCCTAAAGTTCATTGCTGCTTGTTTGAAACAAGTTTATGGATCTTTGCACTTTTCCACGAAGGATGACAATCACACTCACAATATTGTTTATCGTTCATTATTTATTGATAACAGTCATTTTGTTTTTGGTTTGAGATTCGAATAAAAAACCCCAATGAGTGAAAAAAGCAACTAAGCATTTTGCATTTCTTTTATAACTTCGAGTAACCTTCAGTTGATCAATGTTCAAATTTCTCCACGGACCACCCAAATTTTCTTGTGAACCACCAGTTGCCGACCATTGCTCTAAGGTATAGCTGTAAGGAACTATTAATTTTTGTAATTGGTTTTTTCTGTAGATAATTAACTTTTTAAATAATAGTTATTATGTATAGTATAATGTACTGTTACTCTGTATCTTACTTTTTTTCCTACTAATAATCTCTAACAGGAAAGCCAATATTATAAACTTAATACTGCGATAGACTGAAGATTGAATAAATGGCCGCATTCAACAGAGTCAACAGTTGTAACCGAGCAGAGGTTTCAATCGGTAGCCGTTACATAGTTACATCTGCTGAACGACGAGCGACATATGCGTCGGAACAAACAACAGCCATCATCTATCAGTTTCAGGTAGCGTAAATAAAAGACGCTAGTAAATGTGAAGTCAAAATACCAAAACGTTCCGAGACAGAGGGAGTTCGACAGAAAAGTACTCAACAGCTCCAGAACTATCGAGTCTGCCGAACGCAACCATTCATTCTAAAAACTGTTTTTATTTCTCAGTCTTTGCATTCCAAAATTAACTTTCCTTAACTATTAATTCAGCCTCATTTATTTTCTAAGTAAAATTTGGAAGACATGAAAACTCCCTCATGGCACAGATTACTCTGTACAAGTCGATTTTAGACGGAATTCTACATTATTTATTTTTATAACAGGTCATTAATAACTCATAAGATAATAATTAATCGCTAATTGTGAGATTCAAGAGACGGTACTTACAAAACAAATAACTTATTTAAATATTAAATGTATTTAAGTATCATTTAACAATCTCATTGTTTTTTGTTATGTCAACTTGGAACCGAATCATTCGAAAAATTCGCTTAGTATCACACTACACCACGCTGTTTACAAACACATCTCATGATCATGATTACAAGAATACTTCTGATTTTCGCCGTTAGGAGCGCTATTGAATTCCTTGGGATTAGGGAAAATATTGACGACTAATTTACTAATTTGTTTCTAAATGTAAAAGTGTAGACATATTTGCAAACAATTTTAATATATCCCTTTTAAAAACAATCTTAATTTTCATCGTATTAGGTATTATTGAGATACTATGAAGTTATATCGATCCGTATTGTTTCGTTCATTTTGGTCGGGATAAAAAAAAATCCCACTTTCGTCGTGAAAGACGCCATCTTGTTTATTTGATATCACTTTTGCCAACTAATTTGTATAGGAAAAATTATATTTTTTTGCGAATTATTTCATTAAGTAAAAATATGTTAGAATCAACTTATAATAGATTTTATGAAAATAAATATTTTTGGTTTTTTTCTGTATAATATAGTACTATTTTATTTTTTAAATTCGTTCCTCCCTGCACATTCTTACTCCTTTTCCATGCCCATTATGGAGTCGATGTTTTTCGTTTATTCAGTGGATCCTCGTTATTCAGACCCTTATTTCCGATCTAGTTGAAACCATAAGGGTTTTTACTCTCCGCTCTTTAGAAAAATCACAAATTTGATCAGGCCCACAATCGAGGAGAAAGGATCATAAAGATGTGGAGTGCTTTCGTTAATAACGGTTGTTTCGCACTTCCGTCATCACGGGCGTGCGCCGCTGATTGTAGGCACTTGCAAAGTTTATACACCTTGTAAATAGATCTGGTTTTTTCCGCCCTGTGGGCACTAGGAGGACCTCTTAAAACAGACCCATTATGAATTCGGCCATGCCCACAATGGAGCGACCGGGCCCGGCATATCCGAACGGACCACCCCCCGAAAAATTCCTGGGGATTCCTTGACTCGTCCGGATTCGATCCCGGGTCACCCAGAGCCATAGACTGCCACCTTGATCGCTCGGTCATTCGGTCGGCAATAGATCTGGTCACGAACGTTACCTTACTTATGGAACAGCCATTTTGGGTCTTTTTAAATAGTGCACGTTTTAAACAAATTTGTACGAGCAGTTAGTTTTATACTAAACTAAATTTACATAAAAGTGATAAAACCAGTGAGACGTCAGTCTAATAATAATTTCGAATGATTATGCAATCATAAGTTTATGTAACTTGATCAAAATGGTTTAAAATAAAGAGTATTCTTATCTTTTGCTATCTTGATTAAAACTAATCAAATTAGTTGCATTAGTTTTATCACCTATGAATTTTTTAAAGTGGTGTAATAATATAACAGTCAAAGAAACTGTTAAATCTGGGGTAAGAAAACAACAAAACACACAGGAATGAGTCCAAGTAGGCTTTATTCCGTTGATAGCACGAACATACAAAAATTGGTCAGACTAACGAAAAGGCGGCCAAAATATTATCCAATCACATTTTACCTTATTTACGCCCATTGCCGCGACATATACACTACACCTAGAGGCAGTATACAGCAGTTGGAGCAAAGGGGTAAAAATCATGAGGGCGCCAAGTTAGAAAGGCAAAATAAAAACTTGTAAAAACATTTGTACAAAAAAAAATTGGATTTAATAATTAATCAATTCATTATTAAATTTGAATCCTTTCGACAATTATGTACACTTTTTATGCCCTTAACACCTGCATATCTTTTCGCGTCATCTGATAAAAATTGTAACAGAATATATCAGAATCAAATATTCGGCATATCTCTCCGACATTAAAATTAATCAAAACTTATTTAAAAAGCAACATGTCACAATACCGTATTAGCTCTTTGGCTACTATATCAATTTAATTTAAAATCCCAACAGTGATATTCGCATCTACAATTGTACCCAGTTTAGAATGTTCAGTTCGCTGTCATTTATCCCGTCTGCAGTTCTGTACCATCTTACTTTTATTTGATTATCTGCAGGAAATCTAAATACTGTAATCTAACATCCGAAGAATTACTTTTACAATAACTCATCATTTTACATTTTTAGCACTTAAATATAACCGGAGGAACTTCGCTTAGCGTATAATCTACAGTAGAGCCTCGATAATCCGACCGTCCTAGTCGGCAAATTTCAAATGTCCGCTAGTGATGTGGCGCTACAATATTTGGCTATGTCTTGGCTACTTTAATATTATTTTTACGTGTTTTAGCTGGCAACACTCATTCGACCATGAAAGGGAGCCAGTATTTAAACGAGGCTTAATTTTCTAATTTTTAACGATACAATAGCGACGATTATTATTTTAAAAAATTTTTGTTAGGCTTAACATCGATGAAACTTCATCGCGAAGTAGGTTAATAGCAGTATACTAATATACTAATTACATGGGATATAATAATATACTACACTAGTAATGGATTTTTTCATATTTTTCGGTTATCCGACTTTTCAATTATCCGACCAACTCCAGTCCCCAATTGAGTCGGATAATCGAGGTTCCACTGTATTGATAAACCCTAAAATGGCCGCTGCCGCAAAGGATTATAAATAGGTCGGGATCGTGTCCACAGTGCCGTAACTAGCTATTCTTGTGCCCTGTGCAAAAATTTGCAATTAGGCCCCTTAATTAATTAGGTTTGGGAAAATAATAAAACAAATACATGCATTTTGGGCTCCCCTTCTAAGTGGGCCCTGTGTGGGTGCACCTGTTTCACCTGCCTAATTACGGCACTACGTGTCCAGATCTATTTTTATAGATCTTGGGCATTTGGGTACGACGGTGAAAGGAAGAAAAAGATGGCAGCGCCCGTGCTATCGATAGTATCGTGATGAACAGATCTATTATCTTAAAATATGCGAGACAATAGTTAAAGAAGAGGTCCCAATCGTAAAATCAGAAAATAGATTGTCTTGCCGACAGAGCATTCAAAGTAGCCACAAAAAAATTAGAATGTCGGCTACGATTCAAAAAATACTCGAGATTACACATCACCGCGTGCATTAATATGCACTTTTGCAACTTCTAAATTTTCATTTATAAAACCACATAAAGGGTAATGAAACGAAACTCTCAGAACTATGGAGGACTCCATGTTGCTTTCCAAGTAAATTACTATTACATGCAGCTATTTTTTTGTCCTACCGTGTGTACTCCGCCCGTAATATATGAACGCGTTCTGCAGGAATTTTTAAACGGATGCAATACGCGTGGAGTATACGCAGCGAAACAACAAAAGGTATTCGTGGTCCGTCATATTCGGGACGAATGTCTATGAAAGATTCCTGGTTTTCAACCGCCACAATCCTCAGAGCGATAGGCTGATGCCTTGATCGATTCGGCCATCCAGCAATCATAAACGCTCTCGGCTATTAACTTAAATATTTTAAAAATTGCAGTATATTTTACAATACTCAACGAGTTTTAAATAATCGATTCAGGATTATGTTTTGTAAAAAATGTGCAATAACAGTTTCTGAAATTGCCAAAGAATCGCGGAAATTATACTTATGTTCTTACGCGACAATTAAATACTAGCAGGAATCTATCGAAATCGACGGTTTTATTCCATTGAAATACAATGAGTTCATTTTAAAATTTGGCGTTCTATACAAAAAATTATCAGTACAATAAGTGTTTTCTTGGTTCCTCTGCAAATGACTGGGCCTACCAGTTCACCGGTACCACTAGGCACCTTTCAATTTAACATCTAAGTCCCAGGTTGACAATTTAGTATTTTTAAGGCCGATCGACTTGGTCTGAAGGGACTTCAGATTAATGGTGACAATAGTGCCCACCTGGTGGTTAATCATCTTGTCCTGGGCTTCGTCAATAAAACTCATAGACCTAACGTCAAACAGTCGGACGTTCAAATTTATTCTTCTTTTTACTTACCTGTCATCTCTAACTTAACAGCAAGTAGGTGATAAGTGTATAAGATAGGCTACTAATTATAAATATTAAAACAACACAATAATATCTAAAAGAAAGTGGACGTTTAAAGTCCTGAAACAATAACTTATTAGAATGTTTATCGATTTAATCTAATAATAAATATATTTTAATCAATTTTCGTGCAAACTTCCTGCCTATTATGACAATTTTCTGATAAAACTTATTTGATTCATTTTCCTTTTTTCTTATTCTTTCCTTCCTGAGTTTATTAATGCTTTCTTTTCATTATGCCTCCGTGATGACCGTGTTACGTGTTAAATTAAATACACATAAATTCCATGAAAGATGATAGACATAATTAAAAGTATGAGGCCTTAAGCTGTAACTTGTTTAGTTTATGTATAAAGTAGTTTCACCGTAAACAGGACGAGAAAACATTAATTAATTACAATAGTGTTTATTATGTACTGTACGATGTGTAGAGAGGGATGCCTCCCGGGAGGAATTTCTACGGGAAAGTGGCCTCAATTTAGATGTTAGAAAGTAAAGAAAATCCGGAAAACTCCTCTGGGCAGTACGATTGGGGAGGCACAAACTGACAACCAACTGCCAGTGTTTTAGTGGTTTTATGTAGGCTACTCGTTCACTAATTGCACGTACTCGTATTGCGTTAGTCTATACACCTATAATGTCAAATTAATAAACTATATTACAAAAAATAATTTTTAAAAATTCTATGCACAAGCCTTCATTATTAATTAATAAGCAATTTATCTGTTTATTGTTTCAATTACAGTTTATAGGCAGTTTATAGGTGCAATAATTCATTTTAATTAATGACTTAATTAATGAATTAATGACATTTTTTTCGAGAAAAAAATTTCATGGTAGAAAGAGCTATTTGTTACGTAGAAATTATTATTTTTATGCAAATAACTGATACCGAATTCTGTTAGATTTATGTAAACTGATATGGACTATTATCAGTTATTAAACACATTGATAACAATTGTAAATAATTGAAAGTGGCTGTCATAACATCAACACTTAGTTGTCATAATGTAATATTAGATTTTTTAATTTTCTTTTTCTGCAGAATATTAAACACAATTAAGTTTTTGCAATTGATTTTCAATTTTATCCTTGAAAATTATTAATAATTGGAAACGTTTCCATAAGAGATTTTGCTTCCTCAAAAATATTACTAAACACTTCACTTTCCTTC